CAGCCCAGATTATCTTATCTGGTCTTGATGACAACCCGATAAGTCAGTGGGAGGAAGGTTTTCTGTTAATTTATGGGTGGAAGCACAAGCCAGTAGAGGTTAGGTCATGTGCCTAAGATCACATGACTAAGACCACATGAGGACTAGAGGAAGGAGAGACCCTGAGAACAGAAGTAGCTCTTTTTTGTTTGTTTTTTCAAGACAGTGTTTCTCTGTGTAGCCCTGGCTGTCCTAGAACTCATTTTGTAGATCAGGCTGACCTCTAACTCAGAGATCATTTGCCTCTGCTGGGATTAAAGGTGTGTGCCACCACTCCTGGCTGATGATGTCTCTTACACACTGAATTCTTACCTTCATTTTTTGTGGTACTGATGATCTAATTAAGATTCTCAGGCTAGTTAGGCACTCACTGCAACACTGAGCTCTGTATTCCCAGGCCTCAGGCCTCTCATTCTGAGACATGGTCTTGTTTTGTTTTGTTTTGTTTGTTTGTTTTTCGAGACATGGTTTCTCTGTGTAGCTTTGGAGACTGTCCTGGAACTAGCTCTTGTTGACCAGGCTGACCTGGAACTCACAGAGATCCACCTGCCTCTGTCTCCCAAGTACTGGGACTAAAGGTGTGCACCACCAATGCCCGGCGAGACATGGTCTTGTTAAACTGGCTTTGAACTCATTCTGTAATCCAGGCATACCTTGGAATTCATAGTCCCACCTCAGCTTCCTGAGCAGCTGGGATCACACTCTTTCTTGCTGTGGAGAGATACACATGAGTGGGTTTACAAACTGCTTACTGTATAATCTCTTTTCTTCTTTTCTTTCTTTCTTTTTTTTTTTTTTTTTTTTTTGTGGTTCTGGGGTGATTGAATATCTTATGTATTCTAACCAAATATTCCACCACTGAGCTACACCCCTAGCCACTGTGTATTGTGTGCTTTCTGATATGTTCTGGGTGTTGTGAATCATCTGATCTTTAACAGAAATTGAGTTGGGGAGATGGTTTGGTGGGCAAAACATGTAGGCCCTGAGTTCAAATCCCCAGAACCTACCTGTGCTTCTACAGTGAGGTGAAAACTGGAGGATCTTCAGAAGTTCACTGGACTGTAGCTTGGTGCATACAACACTGAAGAGCATCTAACCTCCAGGGATGCGCTGTGGCACACTGTGCCTGTGCACACGTGAGCATGAGCACGTGTGTGTGCACACGCACATACACACACACACACACACACACACACACCAAAATCGATCTTTAAAACCATGAGCTTCTGCTGACCCCCTCCTCTACCTGCAGCCCGCTCTGGAAGTACTGGCTTATAGGTATGGGCTTCCACATCTGACTTTTTTACTTGGGTTCTAAGGATCAAACTCAGATCATCAGGTTTGCATGACAAATATTTTATGCACTGACCCAGCTCTCTTAGAGTTCAAAAAACTTTTCAGTGGTGTGAAATGATCTGCATTTTTACCACTTGAAATTGTATTTCATATTTTGAATTTGGGTCATTTCCAAACTCCCTGTGTGTGATAGGATTTTCTTTCACAGTGCTGGGCACTACAAGACACAGCTTGCTCTGGCCTGCCGTCCACTGCTAGAGCAGCTGCAGTGAACATGTGTTTTTTGTAGCTACCACCACACTGCTGCCACGAATGCCAGTCAACCTGTGGCTCACTGCTCTCCAGCCAAAGGGAAAAGGTAGGTTAAGATGGCTTGTACATAGCAAGACTGCTCCAAGGTCCACTGGCAGTAAGACATGCAGAAAGCAACTGGCTACAAAAGCTGCACAGAGTGTGCCTGCTGGTACTGTGGCACTCAGTGAAATGAGATGCTCTCAGTTCAGCAAGCTGATCTGCAAACTCCCAGTTTGGAGTAAGAAATGACTTCAGGATCTCAAAACCAATTTGTTATTCCAGAGTATAAATGACGCTTTGCAGATAAAGAGGAGGCAAACAAGTCCTGTCTAGCCGAACCTCTTTGAAGAAACTATCCTGTGCTACCTGTGCCAAATCTCTAACCTTATCCCAAAAGATATTCAGCTACCATACAGGTGGAGAACAAGCTTAAGAATCCACAGCAGAAGCCGGTGGTAGTGGTACACACCATTAATCCTAGTGCTGGGGAAGCAGAGGCAAGGCAGATCTCTATGAGTTCCAGAACAGCCTGGCCTGCAGAGTGAGTTCCAGGACAGCCAGGGCTACAAAAAGAATCCACAGTAGAGGGCTGGAGAGAGGGAGTTCAGCGGTTAAGAGCATCTATTGATCTTGAGGAGGACCTGGGTTCAGTTTCTAGCACCTACAAGGAAGCTAACAGTCACCTTTAACTCAAGTTCCAGGGCTCAGGTACCCTCTTCTGACCTGAGGACACCAGACATATGTGGTGTACACACATACATGCAGGCAAGACACTCATATGCATAAAATAAAATAAAAAGAAACACATTTTTGAAAAGGGAAAGAAAAAAGGGCTATAGCTTTGTCACAGCTTCTCTTTCCCTGCTACATCGCTGTCTTCCTTTCCGTCACATTTGTGTGTGTGGTAGACTATATAAAACATGAAACTTGCTGCTTACCTCGTTTTCGGTTGAACTAAGTTTATGCAGCGTTGCATAACCATCACTACTGTTTCCAAAGCTTTTATCAACTTCAGCAGAAACACTACACCTATTAGGCAATAATTCACCATTTCCTTCACCCCAGCTCCAATTTACTTTGTATGAGGTTTGAATTTCCCTGCTCTAGATACTTCTTTAGATAGCAGAGATCCTGTTGTGTTTGGCTTATTTTGCTTAGCTTAAGTTATCTGAGCACAAATTCGGTGAGAGAAACCCTATCTCACACCCAATGTCAAAATCTGGTCTCCAAAAGCATAAGACACATGCACACATTTGCACATATACACACACTACATACACATGTACACATACAAGATGGAATGAAATCAAGAAAGACACCTAATATTGACATGTGTCCAGACACACGTACACACAAATCCATATTAACAGTACATGTTCCTCCTGGCCAAAGATAAAATCCTCCAAACAACCCAGACCATGTCAGTGGTCAATTCTAGCACACACTTAAAAGGTCCCTAGCACCATGTAAACTCAGTTTGGTGGCTCAGGTTTGTTTGTTTGTTTATTTGGGTTCTTGAGACAGGGTTTCTCTGTATTGCTTTGGATCCTGTCCTGGAACTAGCTATTTAGGCCAGGCTGGCCCGAACTCACAGAGATCCGCCTGCTTATGCCTCCCAAGTTATCAATGGGATAATAACCACGCATCACCATCCCTAGCTTCAAATGGAATTTTATGGGAACATTAATGGCCAAAATAATCTTGGAAAGAAACTAAGTTACACCACTTTAACTAATTTCAAAACTTACTGCAAGACCCAGTGTGGTGGTATACCCCTTTAATCCTGACACTTGGGAGGCAGAGGCTGGAAGATCTCTGAGTTTGAGGCCAGCCTGGTCTTCAGAGTGAGTTCCAGGAGAGCCAGGGCTACACAGAGAAACTCTGTCTCAAAAGCAAACAATAACAAAAAACTTACTGCAAGGCTACACAATTCAAAATAATGTAAAGCTGGACAAGGTACCACCTGACTGTAATATCAGCTCCTCAGGAGACAATAAAGTAGAAGAATCCTAAATTCAAAGTTAGCCTGAACAACACAGCAAAATCCACCTCAAACAAACAAAACACAAACAAACAAAAAAACCTATTTACCTCTATGTATCTCATTGCTGAGGATAGAGATGGCTCAGAGGTTAACAGAGTTTGCTATAAACCCATGAGGACCTGAGTACTGATCTAAGCACCCACATAATAGACTGAGCATAGGCTTGCACACTTGCCCATAGCACTGTAGAAGAGCAGAGACTAGAGGATCTCTAGGCTCATTGGCCACCAGCCTACCCAAAAAACAAATAAACAAAAAAACACTACAAGCTTCAGGTTAGAGAAGAGACCTTGCCTCAAGAGTAAGGCAGAGTGACAGATGAGGAATAGAGTCAAGCCTGAGCTTCCCTGTGTCAGGTGCCGGAGGACAATTATCCGATGGCTGCCAACGAAAGCAGAAGCCATTTGGTCAGCTTTCTCTCTCAACTTCCCCTTTCGCTTTCGCAGTGTAGTACAGTAATTCCGAAAGGAAAACACACTTCAACCGAGACTGGCCCATCTGTTTTTTGGTTTTTTTTTTTTTTTTTTTTTTTTTTTTTGCGGTTTTTATTATTATTATTATTAAATCGTAAGTGGAGTCTCTGATTTCCCCCATCTCTGTCAGATGTTTTATTTTTTTGAGTAATGGACACCGTTTTTGCCTATATAACAACAGAGCCAACAACTTCCAGTCTGTTGGGTCCTGTCATTACTGATTTCCCCTATTAGATGTCAAAACAACCCACGAATAGAAAATGCGTTATTCCTCCACTGGAGAAGTGAAAGAAAGCACAGCGTCGGGTGACACAGCGAAAGTCTGCACACAGGCAGTGAACTTCAGAGATCTCCTTCTTTGTTACTTTGCAAAGACCTGCAATAGAGAGGAGTCCAGGCCACCTTGGTGGCTAACGAAAGGACAGTGCTTCAGAGTCTGGTTACTAAGAAGACAGCGAGCCAAACTGGGACAGAAAAGACGACAACGTATGGACTTTTGCCGGATCGACTCCAGCTGCCAACGCACAGCAGTCTCTCGGCTGCCCTACCCGACCGAGCCCTGGTGGGTAGGTGTCAGAAAGCCGGCCACTGACGTATAATTAAAAGCAACTACTAGCATGTATGCCACATCTTGGCTGTCGCGCGGACCACTGCCCAAAGCGCACGCGCAAGGTCCGCCCCTGGGCTGAAGCGACAAGCCTATCTCAGCAGCGGATTCCAGCGCCGTCCTAACGCGCATGCGCTACTCCCTCGCGCACGCGCACCTTGACTAGTGTGTCCCTCGTCCTCAGCCCTCCCACTCTGACCCAGAACACTGGCCTCCATGCTTGCAGCTCTCGCTCCACGTCTCTTACCTTGCGCCCGGTTTTCTCCCGGAGGGCTTTCAGCCGTTCTTTCCTCCGCAGTGCCTCTTCCTCAAGGCGGCCCACACCGGCAGCAGCCGCCGCCATCTTACCCAAGGCCCCGCCTTTCCTCTCCGCTCTGCGCAGGCGCAGTGAGTAGGAGAATGCTTTATGGCCAATCCAAGGGCGAGAATGGAGAGCCGGAAGCCCCGAAGACCAATCAGTGCTGAGTTGTTACAGGAGGACACGCCCTTTGCTCTGGAGCAACCTGTACTGCGAGTGAGCAGGCTGGGTCGGGAAAAGGAGTTGAGGTTCTATCTGTCCAACATTAATCAGTGAGAAAACAGGTAGAATCAGACCTGAGAGGAAGAGGTTAGAGTGAGTCGATTGCTCCACTTTGGCCTAACCACCTCCCACCTCTCCGTTTGCCCTCTTGGAATGCTTAAGCATCCTTAAACACTTGTGCTTAGTCTTCAAGGAGCAAATGCCTTGAGAAACATTCCCTGGGTCGGGTGTGGTGGCGCACGTTTATAATTCCAGCACTTCAGAAGCCGAGGCAGCAAAATTATGGGCTCGAGTTCAGTCTGGGTTAAGTAAGGAAATCGTCTTAAAGCACCACCACCGGACACCAGAAACTTTCCGTGGCCACTCTGGTTCCCGTCTCACTCTGAGCTCAGCCTCTCTCCTTGTCTACAGCCAGTGGCACCTCGGACTCGCCTGATGAGTTGCTCCTAGGCCTCTCTGTTCACTCTGCTCCAGATCTGCATGGCCTTTTCCTTTGAACTCGAGAATGACTTCTCATCCCTTTCTGGAGCAGCAGCATACTCAGGGTCGGGCTCCCTTTTCCGGAGAAAAGCAAACATCAACCAGGGCCAAGTAAGCGCCACAGAACTTACTCCTTCCTCCCAGTTTATGAAGAGTTTGTAGCAGATGGTCACAGATGTACACACCAGCTTCCTTCCCCTGCTCCTCTTCCCAGGGGAGGACTAGCCCATTAGCAACGTTGCTCCCTGTCTGGAGCGTGTGTTGTAAGGTTGTTTCCCAGGTGAATGCCCTTCCCTCCCAGCTTCCTTCAAATGTCACAGCCCCTAACCTCACTGTCCTCCTGGGTTAACTTGGTTCTGTCTCCTCAGCAGAAGAGGGGCTGGCTGCCTGGTATATAGGCTATCGGTGTTCAGGACATGTACATTCAGACTAGGATGCATGAGACAAGAAAAAAAGGCCAAAATTTAAGGGTCACCCACTCCAAAAGTACAAAATAGGGCAGGGTAAAGGACAAAGTCAGCCTTCCTTTGGCCACCCAAGATCTAGGACACTCCAGACTGATCAATTCCTAGGATCTGTCTGGACTTAGCAAACTTGCCCCCCACTCATAACAAAGAACCTGATTTCTATTCAATTCCAGGGGCTCCCTCACTTCACAAGCAGCCTGGGCACAAGAAAAGAGACAGGGTGGTGGTGACAGTGACCCAGCAAAGATTCAGCCTACATGCTTTGTGCTTGCTTGTGATCCTCATTCTGACTGTCTGGGCCTCAGTTTTTCCATTCATAAATAGCCATGAGGAACCCCTGAGGCATCCCCCTCAGGTCAAAGGAATAAAAGATGACAAGCTATGGGAGGAAGGTTGCCTCCAAGGGAGCAACTGGGAGGGCTTCCTAGAGGGAGTAGGCTGGAGATATCCTAAACTTGGTTAAGGATCTGCCCAATGGCAGGACGCCGCTCCTCTGAAGGTAGGTTTGTCCGGCAGTCTGTTGATCTTTCCCATCCAGCCCAACACTCAGCAAGAACTAGAGGTGGCACTTGTCTTCCATAAAGCTCTTAGAACAGGACCCTGCACGTAGTTAGCGCCACAAGTGGTCCTCATGGACGAGGTTATTATTAGTATTTGTTGAAGGACCCTAGTCATCCCCGCGCGAACCGCAGTCTCTTCCTGGAATAGCGATAATTCCAAGTCTGATTGATGGTGTACCAGGACGGACGACTCCGAAAGCCCTTATCCGCCCCCTAGCCCGGGAGGCTTGAAATGATCCTGCCAGTGGCTCTGAATGGACCTTGCCTGCGGGGGGCGGGGCTCCACGCGACCTCCCGGGCCGTTCTGACCTCAGGCTCCGCCTCCAGCATGACTCCCCGCCCTTTGCACAGTCCTGGGAGAGGCGGGGCGGTGGCCGCCGCCGCGACAGACAGCGTAGTGTGGGAAGCCAGGCGGTGGCCGGCGGGGAGGAGGAGGGGCGTGTAGATTTTGGTGGCTGAGCGCGACAGGGTCGGGAGCCGCGGACTTCCCCCAGCAGCACAGAGCCGCTCCGCCCCGGAGTGACGCCCTCCCGCCCATGGGCCTGGCCCGGGGCAACCGGCGGGCGGCGCGGAGGAGGTGGCGACAGGTGGCGCGCAGCAGGGCCAGAGCCGGGTCAGGCCATGGCCGCCTCGGAGCGGCTCTACGAGTTGTGGCTGCTGTACTACGCGCAGGTGAGCCCGTCCCGCCCCTGGTCCGCGAGGTCCCCGGATCCCCGGCGCGCTATGCCTGCTGCACCTGCGCCCGGCGCCCCCCCCAACCTCCGGCCGCAGATAGGCGCGCACGCGAGGGACTCCTGCCCCGCACACATGTGCGTGCCTCAGGCCGGCGGGCTGCCTCGGGCATTTGTGCCAGGGGCAGTGTTCTCGGGCACACACTGTACTGCAAAACCCTCCGCGACACTCTCTGCAGCCTCAGTTGCCCTGGCCAGATAGTCCTCACCCCTTTCACTACTGGGTAAACTGAGACCTGGGAAGAAGGAGACTCAGTTTGCCTGTAGACTGCTTCACCGGAGGGGCGCATTTGCGATAGGTGGTCGTGGCTAGAATGTCATGTAGGCTGGGGGACCCAGCAGGTGCCACTCCTTACTGTAGATCAGACGTTCGTTAGTCACCTCAGACTCCTCCAGAGAAGTCCTCAGTGTCGAGCTCTCGCTGTGCTTGAGGCAAACTTAGTGTACCTCCTTCAGTGGGGCAGGGTCGTCCGGAGTGAGGCCAGGAAGGATATCTGATGGGGACCCTCGGGAGGGGCAGTGACTCTTGTGATTCGAACTCTGTGTGACTGTCACCCATTGAAGTTCCATTTTCCTTCTGCGCTGGAAGCAGGGAGTGATCCTGGGGTCACGCCTCCCTCCTTGCACCTGCTTGGCACTAGGTACCTAGCTCAGGTGTGCCCTGGACACAATGGTCCATTGTGTGTCCCTGAACAGCTTGTCACCGGGAGCAAGGATATGGGGAGAGTTCATGCTCAACCCTGGCCCTCTGAAGAGAGTGGCTGATGGTCGGTCTCTTAGGGACACACTTCTTTAGTCCCCTTGGGCTGGTGGCATGTAGAAGAGTCCCACCGAGGGTGACACCGGCCCAAGCTCCTCGCACCTTTAAGCCTCTATTTCCCGTCTGTAAAATCAACACAGTCTTGCCCTCCGGCCACCTGGGCTTTGTAGAGAGGGAAGCCCCTCTGGCCTCCATGTCTCCATCTTCAAGGGAGACGACTGAGTGAAGAATCCAAAGAGATGTCGCTGTTGGTTTTTCAGGCTGGGAGCTAGGCTGCTGGAGATGTGCTGGTACAGCGTCCCTGGACCGTTTCCCTTCATAGTTGTCAGGCCGAACTTCTGTGTGGTGATGAGGTATTAGCTGTCTGCTGTGTTCCCATCTCCTCCCAGGTGGCCTCTTAGAGTAGGGCTAGGTGTGGGGCACAAGCTGGCTGCTTGGAGTCTTGGAAGCCTGGACAGGCAGGGGGCAGCCTGGGACCAAGCCAACAAATAAATCCAGGATGTGAGAGTGAACCCAGGAGTTGGGTGGGGCCAGGCTGCCTGGGGAGAGGAAGCCAGGCAGCTCCCAGCACAGCCTTCCTGCCTGCTTCCAGAACACTACCCCACCCCTTGGTGCTAGACTCCAAAGGAGAGATGGTGCTGCTAGAGACCCATTGTGTTTATGTCCTGGGGTGTGTAAGGCAAGGACGGAGTCCACTGGTGTTAAGAGACCCTCAGAGCCCAGCGTGATGGCACATGCCTGTGATCCAGCACGAGAGAGAGGTCGAGGCAGGAGGACCGCCAAAAGTCTGAGGCCAACCTGGGCTACAGACTTTTGAGACTCGTCTCAAAAATAAAGAAGAGAGACCCTTTTTATCAGTCACCAGCCACGCAGCCAGCAACACAGGTGGCCCCTCCCTTCAGCGGCAAGACCTACCTACCATCTGCTGGCAAACCTGTTTCCCCAGTTGTACGTCTGGGCGAGGACAGGGGAAGCGACCCAGTTCCTGCCCCACCTTTCCCCTAAAAGACCCCAGGTTAGCTGTGCCTTCCCTCACTACATGGGCTCTGCCCTCTTGGTGGGCTCTGGGAGGAGAAGGGAGAGGGGCAGTTATCACAGTGACCCTGAATACTGCTTAGTTGGAGTTCCTCCAGGTTCTCTTGGGGAAACCGTGGTAAGGTCATCATCAGAGTTCCTTTAGCTACCAGAGCTGACTCAGGTGGCTCTTTACCTGGGACATCACCTTGTAGCTCCCTCTGCCTGGAATCTATCTTAATCTTCACCGCACTTACCACTCCTCAGCTTCCGGGAACCGAACATTCGGTAGGTGTTCCCTGGGTGTCAGCCGAAAGACTGGATGAGAAGATGCCTAGGGTAGTGACCAATCAAGAGGTCAGCCCGGAGCAAGCAGAGTTGGGATTTTTAGGGCCGAAGGCCGGGAACAACAGGAATGAGCACATAGGAATGGGGGATATAAGAAGCAAGCTTTCATGGAGGCTTGTCTGCCTGTCTCCCCCCACCCCCACGCCTTCACCTTTCATCCCAGCTCTTGGGAAGGCAGAGGCAGGCAGATCTCTTGTGAGTTCCAGGCCAGCCTGGTCTACAGAGTGAGACCCTGTCTGAAGGAGAAGCAAGCAGCAGCAAGTTGTCCGAAGTAGGGAGCGGCGCAGAGCTGGCGTGGTGCGCGCTGGGGCACATCTACCGGTGTGTCCTCAAAGAGAACTGGGAGAAGCATGAGAGGACCAGGGGTGGGACAGCACCTGGCAGGCTGGCACTTGGCAAACATGGAAGAGTTAATGCAAAATAGCATGTAAATGAACAGCTCCTTTGCAGGCTGGAGCAGTGGTTGCTCACCAGCCCCCCCCCCCCACTGATGGGGCAGCTGAGGGTCACAAA